CCGTCGCTGAGCCCGTCGCTGAGCCCGTCGCTGAGCCCGTCGCTGAGCCCGTCGCTGAGCCCGTCGCTGAGCCCGTCGCTGAGCCCGTCGCTGAGCCCGTCGCTGAGCCCGTCGCTGAGCCCGTCGCTGAGCCCGTCGCGGAGTCCACCATCGAGCCCGTGACTGAAAAGCAAATCCAGGCTCAGGATGTGGAAGTGACTACCGCCGAAGTGGAGCCCGAGGCCGTCAAGAATGATTCTACTGATGAGACAGCAGCAGAACCTGAGGTCAATGGTGTTGTCGGCAGCACTGACAAGGCCGACCAATCTCTGACTGGTGAAGAGGAGACCGCTAAGGTCGAATCCGAACCAGTAGCCTCTGAAGAACCCAAGGCTGAAGAGTCTGCCCCTGTCTATAATGGCGAATCTTCAGCTGAGAAAGACGTCGATCCTTCCCCCACTCAGCCTGTCCCTCAAGTTCAGGATGCCACCCCCGAGCCCACCGACGAGGCCGCCAAGACCTCAGAAGAGAAAAGCTCGATCGTGACGCCCGAGCTCATTGGAGCTGGTGCCGCAGCTGCCATCGCTGCCGGTGCTGTTGTTGCTGGAGTCGCTTCCTCGTCTCACAAAGAGCCTGAAGTCGCTGCTGCGCCCAAGCATGGTGTGAACGCCAAGGAACAGTCTCAACCTAACGACGGCAAGCACGAAACTTCGCACCTCGTACCTGGAGCCCAGACCGCCGACAATAAACACACCGAAGCCTCCACTTCAAAGGACATGCCCACCCCCGAGCCTGAAAGTGATCCTGCTCTCGCAGCGCTTGCTGGCGACCGCGAAGCTCTCCTCCGAAAGCTGGAGTTGCCATCCACTGAACAGTTGCCTGCGGAGCCTACCCAGCCTTCGTCTACCAACGATAACCAGGCTGTGAAGCCAGCCTGTCACGACGAGCGAGCTCCCGCATCTACCGACGGCCCCTCCACTTCGACCGAGTCTTCTGCTCCTACTGAGGACGATGCCGGCAAGGCAGTTGCCCCCAAGAACAACGAGGAGACTCGTTCTCCCAGTCAAAATCGGTCAGTCACTGCTGTTTCCTTGAACCATAAGCGAGACAGCTGGTTGAGGACTATTTTGCGTGCCGTCTTCGGCAATTTCTTCGGCGCCATCTTCTCGCCCTTCCGCCGTGGTGGAAGGGCGAACCAGTAGATGGTTGCTCCTACCGCTTGTCCGAGAAATCATTCGCTCTTCAGAGTCTCTGAACTCTCAAGAGTGATCAAATCATCGCTTAATCATTGTCATTGCCAAAGCTAATGAGATTCAGGAATCTGTTCTTGATGACCGTTTTCGCTGCACCCTTGCTGGCTATTATTTGGCGTGCATATACCCGATAAGTTTGAATCTGTTGAAAAATTAATCGTCGCCGCTCATTTTTACTCGACTCGATTCCCCTGTATTTGATATTTGTGGATGTTCGCTCTCAATCTGTTAATATTATTTTCCTTATTCTGCTCTCTAACTGTGGCAACTCTCTCACCCCTTGGAAGGCTGTCTCACCTTGGTAGCAATTGATATGACTGGCCGGAAGTTTGCGGTTGATGTGAACGTCTGCCAGTATGTAATGATGTTTATGTTTGATGATTATGATGAATGAAAGAAGACCCTGATTTTCGAAACGATGCTCCCTACTATAGAATATCAAGCTAGTCCTGTGGACTGCCATTGCCATTGCCCTCGCCCTAGCCAGAATCACTCTCTCCTAGATTCGACTCGTGCCTGCCATTACCCTTAAGATGAGCAAGAAGATAGCAGTATCTGCCAGTCCAGATAGCATTACTGTTTGTGAAAATCTTCAGACATAGTGATCTCTGTGATGGTGTAGCTTGTTACCTACATCTGAGGGAGAAGCACCCCAAGTTTCCTTGAACCGGTTCCAGCGATGCGAGTGATATCACTCTGTTCGACCTGAATTGAATTATCAACTTTCTCGATACTAAGAAGGTGAGGTATATTCGTATAGTAGGGACTATAGTCAACGCTCATAGCATAGCTTTGGATAATCCGCGAGAGAATCAGCTTGTACTAAGTGTTGTTTGCGTCTTACGAATCCGTGCCTTGCCTCTATACAGACTCAGCTACGAAGCGACATCCTGATATCAGAGCTTCTACTTGGGGATAGCTACATGTACTTCAAGTAAAGAACTAGCTGGTCTTAAACCAGATATCATTCTGCCTGCCAGCAAGATAGAGACAATGATCAAAGAATCTGGGTACATGTTGCAATTCACGCTGAGCTCCTGAGTGACAGGTCCTCATCAGGCGCTAGCGAGCACCAGCACCAGCACCAGCAACACAACCAGAAAACATCACCTAGCGAATATTCCGTGAAGTTCTGTTTACTCGCTAGTCGCGCGGTGCTCGCACAACAAAGTGAGATCTCAGGTGAGCCCAAACACTTTCCCAAGCATCCTCGCTTACCATCAATCATCTTTCTCATATCCACAGCAACACTTCCCATTCTATCACCTTTGCTCTTAACGATCGTGATAAGCAACAAGCTTCTAGTATCAACTGCTCAAGAACCCTTTGAAAGAAAAATCGCTTGCTACTTCAGCTTCGTGCCATGTCTTCTCAGAGTGGAAACGCGTGGGCGCAGATGAAGGCTCGTGAGCAAAAGCAGCAGCAGGAGGCTGTCAACACCGACACAGGTAAGCAAGCAATCCATATCTCCTCGACAGGGGTCCACGAATGCTTTTCCCTGAAGACGGAAGACCTTGGTGCTAATAAGCTCGTCTCGTCGTAGTCGCTATCCCTCGTAAGGGTCCAGTCATGGGCCATAGACCAACCAACTCCCGCAAGTCGTCGGGTCTCGATTTCGACGCTGACCTGGCCCTTCCCATGCCAAAGCCACGCCACGTCCCTGCGGAGGACAACGGCGATCCCGTCGAGGCTTGCAAGCCGGAGGTCGTGGGCAAGCCCAACATCACTAAAAAGCGTTCCGTCACCGAGCCAGCTCGGCCTGAAGACGTGTTCGATAACAATAAGGGCGACAACAACAAGAGTCAGAAAGAAAAAATGAAATCCAGAGTGGCTGCCCTCCGGTCTAAGCTAAGTCTCAAAGACCTTGCAAAGGAGTTCCGTAGGGACAGCTCTAAGAACGAGCCAGCAGCGGGCAACGAAGACGGACAGATCCCTGGCGTGGAGACTCACGACTTCAGCGAAGAGAAGCTGTATGTCCCTAAGCCGCGAGAGCCGGGAGTCTACCCATCGTCTGCACCACCATTCCCTTTTAGGGACATCAGCTTTGGTCAGTTCTCCCAGGCTAGTGTGGAATCTTGCGCTGTCGCTAGTTCCATTGGAAATGATGAGCAGCCAAACAACGAAAAGTTGAGCCTTGGGCCCTTTGCGGGTGGAAACGGCATGCAGAGCCCTGTCGAGCCAGAGTCCGAGCGGAAAATGCAGCTTGATGCCCTGCTGCTGAGTGGCTCTTCTCCTGCGGCCCGCACAGGCGAATTCGAAAACAGTGGACAGGCGCAGGTCATCAGAGAGCAATCGAGCATTCGCAGCCTGAGAGCGGAGAACGAAGTGGGCAGCCCTGCGTCGACAAAGATTTCCTTCTACGCAGTAGAAGAAGAATATGCCGATCCGATCTCGCCGTCCATCTACGACAATGCCAGTGCCGAGATGACGAACACCGCACCAGATCTGCCAACTACCAAGCACAGACACAGACCGGCGGTGGTTAGGACGAATGAACATAGATTCCCTGTGATGCTTTCGACTGATCAGCCAAGAAGTCTTCCTTTTAACCATGGTCACGGCGGAGTTCAGCCTACCGTAATGCCGGCAGCACCAGTATATCAACCAGCACTCGCACACTCGCACACCCAGCATTTCAATGCTCAAACTCACGCTACAGCTGGACAACAACACTTCGCTGGCGTTACAAGTCACGGAGGCTACGCTCCTCCTCCACCGCATCCAGGCTACCGGAACACGACGAGCCTGGAACAGCAGCTCGCGTCTCATACCGAAGCGGTCCATCTCCATATTAACACCGCTCTTCATAGATTTTGCAGAGTACTTGAGAACTCGAACAACTGGTCAAATGATCAGATTCTGAGACAGACAGACGCCATGTCCGACGTTCTGCGTATGATCAATACTCGCTCGGCAGGCCAAAATGAGATCATATCAGACCTGCACCGCGGTATGACCAGTCTTGAATGTCAAGTTGGGGCGATTGAAATGCAAATAAAGCGTATGGAAGAGAGGTTGTTGATCGGTATCTCGAACCAGATCAACAGACTGAGAGGAGAAATCAACGCGTCAATAAGGTCGCCTCAGAAGACGTATGCCTCCTGCAACTCAGCACAGGATCCGAAGACCACAAGTGCTGAGTTGCAGGCCGCTCAAAATACCCCAGTTGTGACCAAGGACAGTGAGAAACGACAGGATAGAAAAGGTCAACGGTTTGTCAAGAAGGGTGAGATGGAAGTAAGAAGTAACCAAGATGAGAAGAAAGGAAAACAGAAGGGAAGTGAGAACGTCTTTGGGGGTGAGGGCTCTTTGACCCAACACAACAACCCAGGACCCGCTCAAAACATTCCGTCTACTACCGTGGCCTTCCGCAGCACACCTTTGAAGGGAGAGAAACGCCGAGAGTTCACAGAGTCTCAGGTGAGAAGGAGAAACCCTGCCCAGGAGTCCTCCGGTAGCCCTGAACCTAAGGTATTCAAGCTTAGTCGTCAGACTGCAGCCAACTCTGTTCCTGAGAACGGTCAGAGTTCACTCATCCAGACCTCACAAAATCTTGAGATAGATGATAAACCCACCAATGAAGGTGTGAAGACCCCTCACAAGAAGGGGATGTTTGGATTCCGCCGCCGCGATGATGGTGAAAGTCACGCTGGCAACAGGTTCTTGCGCACCCCCCGTCGAAACAAAAAGACAAAGAACTCTCAAGAGCAGAACGGTTATTCTTCGACGCCTCCCGTTCCGGCTGCTGCTGCCGGAGCCTCACAGCCTTCGAGCCTTGCCGACGAAAGCCCAAGCTCGATTCATCCAGCTTTGCGCAATGACAGACAGCAGCAGATCATGCTTGATCGGGAGCGTCTCAAATCTCAGCCACGTACACAGACCGGGCAGGCGACCCCTGGAACCGAGAGACCTACCACGCAGAGACGTGGATTTAGAAATTCTCATTCGCATTCTCACCAGCACATCGGCACCAGAACACCAACCGCAAACCACTTGCCCGCGAATGCCTTCGCTGTTACACCCAGTTCGTCTTCGTCACTCCATAGGGATATCCAGTTGCGTCCCCCTGCGGTGGTTCTGCCCCCTCGAGCACCTCCGATGCGGCCGAGATTTCCCTCTCCGCATGGCGGCCCGCCAGGCGCTGCTTATGCTGGTCGAACACCTCAGAATCTACCTGCTTCCCTTCAGGTTGCTGGTCCGGTTCCTGTCACTGCTTCGGCTCCAATGGGAACACAGGGCTGGCAGGCTGCAACTTGGCATCACAGCGGAGCCTCGCCTGAGGGCAATCAGAGCAACCCTCATGCTTAGATCTCACATTCAGATCTAAAACATCGTTGAGCATTCGCCTGTTGCGTACCAATTATTGGGATATGTGACTGCTTCACTATGAGGTTTTCGTTCAATCTGAGGTTGAATTGGGATTATTGATGATGAGACCTGGAATACGGTTTTCACTTGATGTTGTGCCGAAGCTCAGTTTCTATTTTCATGACTGAAAGCCTTCCTGAGGACATGAGGAGTTTGATCAATTTGGCCGTTGGCGTTGTTATTGAATTAAGGAGGGATGGATTGATGTCTATTTGCACAAATGACAGAGGACGGGATTGATTCTTGAAGGGCCGTGCGTTCACGTGCTCTCTTTATCTACGGGTATCACCAGAATGTTAATGCCTGAGGAAATACGGAAAAGGACAGAAATAACAGAAAACCGATATGTTGATAGTCAGCACGGAAGAAATGCACAAGAAATTTGTAAAAGTGACGATGAACTCAAAGTAAGACTGAAGACGGGTATTGTAACGGCAACTTAATTCCGGCCCGCAATCAACTTTTCTATATCCGCTGCCGCATCTCTAACTTGAGGGCAATAGTGAAGACGCAGCAACTCGCCTTCCCATACTGTCCCCGCAAATACGTTGGTCGTCTCAACGTCAGCCGCAAAGGGATTGAACACTCCGTCCCCTTTCCGCTCCTCGCTGTGCCACAATGGCGCGATCCGGCGCGCATGGTGCTTGGCTACTTGATTTAGAAGCGACAGCGTCGCGAGTGCAGACTTCTCGGGTACTTGGAGAGAGGTCGTCATGAGCCGTTTGGTAAAACTGCCAAGACGGACGGTGGGTGGCGTTCCATGTGCCCGGGAAAGAAGCGTAGATTGGAGACACCGAAGGAGGAGGACGGTGGGTGTCTGGAAGTTAACTTTGCTCTTGGATCGGTGCATTGAGCCGTTTGCTTCGGGTGAGTTTGGATCAGGCAGGCGGAGTGCCTTGGTAGGGTTGAACTCGACATCGGGGTTGACGGAGAGAGAATAAAGGGAGCGGTAGAGATGTTTGACGAAGAAGCTCAGGTCGAGGTGAAGAGATGATGCCGCTTTGCTAACTTCTTGTCCCTCCAAAAGCGCAAAGGCAGTGATGGTGCAGAGCAGAGCCTCGCGTTGAGCGTCTCGCGACGTCGATTCGCTTTCCTCCTGTGCTTCGTCTTCGCCATCTTCTCCCTCGGCTTTATCGGCGTGACCGATCAAGTCCTTCAAAGCTTCCAGCAGGTCGCCAAAAAAGTCTTGGTTGATCAGGTGTGCGTATTTGGCGAGGCCTTCGAGGACGGGACCCATGAGGTTGGGAATGCGAAGCTTCAGGACGCGGAAGTACGTGCCGAAGACGAGCTTCAGTGTCTCCGCCTGGTTCTTATCTCTTTCTTCATGGGAAACCAAAGCATCCGCCTCTTTCATGTCCTTTTCCACGGCCTTTCGCTCCTTCTGCAGCTTGCGCTCTCGCTTAGTGCGGAATTCGCGCTTCTGCTTCGGCTTTTTGCCGTTGAAGGTATTCTCCTCTTCTTCTGGCTCGCGGTCTATCCTGTCCCTCGAGCCCTTTGCCGAGAATTCGGAGAGCAGGCGCAGATGGAGGAATGTGTCCAAGACACTCTCGTGTATCCTAAAATCTTTGGCTTTCATCATCTTTGACAGCAGACCAACAGCTTCCAAAGAGACTATTCCATCGTTATCCTTGGAAAACACCTCTTCCATTGTCTCTCGACACTTGATGAAATCAGCATCGATCTGCCTCTTTGCGAGACTATTCACAAGGATTTTCAGCAGCTCTGTGCGGAAATTGAAATGCGGTACGGAAAGGAGGAGGTTGCAGGCGCAATTGATCGCGATGCTCTTCAATCCGGGATCGACGGCTGCAGTATCGCGCTTTGAGGATTTCGTAAGATCCAATAACTTCTGGACATAGTGCTTGTACCCCGACAATAGCGATTGTTCAAAGCTCCGGAGCTTGCGCACTTCTTTCGAGACTTTCGCGGACATGTCTTCTTCGCTGAGAGGCCGGATCCGGTAACCGGGAATGACATCCTTGTAGACAGCAGCCTGCGAAGCGAGGGCCAGCTTCTGTATCGCGACATGTTGGCCATTCTCCACCATATCAGCCATCGTCTTGAAGGACGAAATGTGCTCTTCCGGGTCCTCGTTGATGATTGTCGCCAGCCTCGCCAGCTCTTCCTTCGCTTGAATAATCTGCAACTTCAATGGGACTTTCGGAGTTTCCTCTGCAGCTTCGTCGTCATCTTCCATATCCTCGTCGTTTGAATCGTCGTCATTCTCATCGCCGTCCTCATCGTCGTCGGTACCGAGAAAGCTGTCGGACTCTTCAGCCTCTGGTTCAGACTCCTCGAGCACTTGAAACCCTTCTGCCGTCTTGATGGGCAATCTAGTGCTCTCTTTGTCTTTCTTGCCTAGTTTGCGCGGTCGGCGCTCGTAGTCCTGTTCGAGGTCCCATTCGGCGGCATTGCTGTAGAAATCGTTGAGAGAACCACGCGAGGATCGGGAGGAGGTATTCTCCTCATCGCCGGGAGGACTCAGTCGTCTCCTCTTTATCGTGCGTCCAGGGGCCATATTTTTGCTCGTGGATTGTTCGAAATCAAAGATAGCAATCATCGAAGTTCGAAGTCGAAACTTTTTTTTCTTCCTTTGAATTTTCCCCGAACGCCAAGAATCTCACGCTAGAGCTCCCGCTCCACCTTGTCTAGAATTTTTGTTCCCGCGGAGCTTCACGAATTTTTTATTCTGATCAGAGCAGAAGCAAAAATGCGTCAACTTACGGAGCAGGAGTTGCAGACGCTACTTGCCAAGTTGGCAGGCTATACCGGACGGTCACTCAACAACCTCATCGTACCTCAGTCCGATTCCGAGGACGAGCGACATGTCTTCCGTCTTCAAGGAAACCGAGTGTACTACGTGAAGAAGTCACTGGCTGATTTATCGACGAGTTTTACTCGGGACACCCTTCTTTCTCTTGGGACTTGTATTGGCAAATTTACAAAGACTGGAAAGTTCAGAATCCATATCACAGGTTCGTTTATTCTGTCCCGCAGAATGGAAGTGGCATGGCTGGCTAACGAAGTCGCATGGTTAGCGCTCGACGTAATTGCCCCTCATGCGAGATACAAGGTCTGGATTAAGGACAATGGTATCATGCCTTACCTCTACGGATCGAATGTTGTGAAGGCGCACGTCGGAAGATGGAGTGAGGATATCCCAGAACATACAGGAGTCTTGGTGTACGATTCGAACGACACACCTTTGGTATGAATGGTCTGCAACAGCAAATGTCTTCTGGATAGGCGACTGACTTGGCTCAGGGATTTGGTGTTACTGCTCGATCCACCGCTGAGATTCGCAAGCTGGATCCCACCGCGATTGCCGTGTTTCGGCAAGCGGATATAGGAGAATATCTGAGAGAGGTACGTCGCTTCGTCTCCTTGTCACGAATTATTCGGGGATTATATCTAAATGCTAACCGTTATATAGGAAGACACTCTGTTTACGACGTGATAGAAGTGCTTTTCATAAGCGGGATCGTTCATGGGGTTCGCATACTAGATATCAAGGGATTGTTGGAGGAGTTTTGGAGTCTTGCGTCTGTTTGGCTACAAAAGTCTTTTCGTCTCGATGTCCAATATCATCTATCATCATCCATTCTGCATTCTGCTCTCCAACTCGCCAGTAACATGCCATGATTCCTTGGCCCGAGAGTCCGAAGATATCGCACTATAGTCCTTAAAATTCATCAATCAATGGCTCTCATGACGAGAGAATCGCGAAACCGTGCTAAATATAGATAGATGGGCAGTGGCAGTAGGTAGTCGTGTAAGGTTTTTGCTGTCGAGAGGTCAAACACCCCCAGATATCCGAGACTGGTGATATGCCTGTATATCCCAGTTTATCCAGAGAGAAGCAGATCTCAATTTTGTATATTCACCCAAAAGGCGACAATTGTATAACCTTGTATCGATTTCATGGCTTCATCGGACTCTTACAAAATACGCTGTTGGGCACGTGCCGAAAAGAACATCAGTCAGCGCCTCCAATGGCGAAGATGGAACTTTCCTTCTTTGGTCCAGGCATCTCTAGTCAATCCTTTCAGTCATCATATTGTTTCGGCTCTTTTGCTCAACTCTGTCGGCCGTGACCACTGCCTCGAGTATCGCTAGTAGCTCAACTCTCACGCTCTCCTCTCATCTGTCGGACACCACCAGATCTCAACTCCCTGGACTATCCCCCGCCATCACCCCGCCATGCCACCTTACTCTGGAGTTCAGAAGCAACTGATCTCCCAGTTTGTGAACTTCACAGAGGCCAAGGACGCGGTAGCAGCAAAGGTATGTTTTGCTAAATTCGGCCCATTTGATCATCGAAACCCTGCCAAAGTTGTCGCCTCAAGTTCAGATCACGTGAAATTTTTCATTGTCCATCATAGCTAATCATCCTGGCTTTGCAGTTCCTAAAAGCACATAGGTGGAATGTAGAGGAAGCTATTGATGCGTGAGTATTAGAATTTATTTCTTTGTTTTGTCTTCTTTCGCAAAGCTTCCTATTACGAGTGCCTTATTTTCTCCTTGGACGTCTGCTGCATGGGCTTCAGGGAATTCAGAGCAGTATTTGTTGCCTAGGCGCAGATGAGTAGCACACATGATGTGTTAGTGCTCCTTTTGAACAGGGTCTGGTCGTGTGGCCACTGCTCTTTGGATCATACTCTTCCATCGCGTCGCGTCCTGCAACTCGGTCCCCGGGTATGTGCAGAACGGGTACTGGTGCACTCAACTGTGCATCCACAGACATCCAACTCAATGACGCTACACCTGCTTGAAGCTTTCAAACGGCAAATTATTTCTGAATGCCGTATCTGGTTCTGTATCTGCTGGAGCAGACGTCCTGTGCCCCTTCAGCTAGCCGTGGGAAGCCTACGTGGGTGGCTGCTGCCCTTTCTTGCTCTCAGATACGTACATACTGTCATCCCGCTCTGGCTTAGCCCTATGCAGTTCTCTGTGTTTCAGCCATTGCGTCTTCATATGGGCAATCACACTGTTGATAGTTTCAGAATGACATGCATTTATATGCAGGTATCCACGCTGCTTTGCGCTGTCAAAGCCAAAGTCATGTCATATGTCCGATGAGCGACTACTCTTCTTGAGTGAAACAGCTGGTTTCGTCGTGAGCATTGAGCTTCTGAGATAACTTGCAATGAGCATCAGGGGAGGCGGACTGAGCCTAGAGGCAAGGCCAAAAATACCTAGCTTCAGGGGTTCTCAAACGCGCTCATTGAATTCAAGTCGTCTTAGCAGATATCGGCTCTATTCTTTCGCGGTTGCTTCTTTGTTTGAACTTTCGAACATTTGTCTCCGAGCGAAGGCTAATCGAATCCTCAGTTACTTCCAGAGCCCACAGGGTAATGGGGGAAGCACTTCTGCCCTCAATAAGATTTTCGACTCGTATCGAGGTATTTTCATGTTGGAGATTCCGTATTGCCGTATAATTTGCTGATTGAAGTTTAGATGCACCCGAAGAGGACGCCGACGGGATTGGTATTGAAGGTGCCATGAAGTTCCTGGGGGATATTCAAGTGCAACTAGACGAGGTGGCATGCCTGGGAATTGCAGAGCTTCTCAAGTCGCCGTCTATGGGTGAGTTCACTAGAGAAGGCTTTGTGAATGGCTGGAGAAGCGCTGGGTAAGTGAGCACTCGATTCAAGTTAATCCCGTCCTGCACTCGTGTACTCAACTAATTTGGCGTTATAGATGTGACAATCTGCAAAAGATGATTGCCCGTGCAGCAGATATTCGGGCTCGTATCCCGGCTGAGCCAGACCTCTTCCGTCGCGTTTATCGGTACACATTTCCCCTCTGTCGTATGCAAGGCCAGCGGAATCTCCAGTTCGATATTGCCGCAGAACAGTGGAGATTATTCTTTACGCCTGAGCATGGTGGCATTCAGTGGAACACGCCTACGACTCCTTGGTTGGACTGGTGGATCGAATACCTCGAGGAGCGTGGAAAGCGACCCGTCAACAAGGATCTGTGGGAGCAGGTTGAAGTGTTCCTGCGCAAGACCCTCGAGGATGAGAACTTTGGTTGGTGGAGTGCTGACGCCGCCTGGCCGGGGACCCTGGATGAGTTTGTGGGTTGGGTGCAGGCGAAACGGGGAAAGTCTTCGGAGGAGATGGAGGTCGAGTAATCATGGGGTGCGTTAATCAGTCTTATTAGGCATGGTCTGATCGCCTTCATCATCTAGACTGTGTGCAATCCTTGGTACTCCATGAATATATGTGTAAATGAACAATTTAACTTCTCTCCGTGCCGACTAGGCAACTCCTATGTTAGAGACTTAAGACCTCAAAGACTGTTGGTCTATCATCTAGTAAGATATAAGTCCGAAATCGAGCTGAAGTCCAAACAGCCAGGCCAAGTTAAAGTTCGAAGCCCAAAGCATCACAAAATTTCACATACAAGAATTAAAAAGACCATTCGTCATAACAGATAAAAAAAAAAGGCATATCTTCATCTCGACATCAGGGGAATCACTGGGTCGAAGAGAGATGTCACATGAGAGATGTTCAAGAGATAAATTGAGATGCATCATGCAGGCAAAGCAGTCCGCCAGCCACAATTCCAATATTCGGGAAATTCTAAAAGTCCGCAAAACTTGGTCCTTGTTTATCGTGCGGTCTGGGACGGTCTGTCGAGTCATTAGATGTATTCACATTCTTTACCGGTAGTCGCCGCCCTTCTCGTACTCGCTGCCGGGGCCACGGCGTTGGTCGTAGCGCTGTTGCGTATTAGCCGGGCTCTGCTTAAAATGAGAAGATCACTGTACCTTTCTCAGAGCCTCCAGACGCTTCTTCTTGGTGTGAGTGTTGACGTAGGTTCCGATGAAGAACCCGATAATGTTGAAGAATGGCACCCAGGTGTGCTCAGGAAGGAACTTCTGGGCGAAAGCGAGCGCCAGAGGCGAGGTGATCCAGCTGACCTTCATGACGGGCATGAAACCAGCCTTGACGGTTGCGCGGACCTGGTGGAGGGTGCGCGCGCCGGCGATAATGGCCATCGACGTGAGGTAGACTGCGTTTTGGATGGGGGAGACCTGCAATGCGAACGCGGTTAAACTTTGTCGCACCGAATGACATACACCAGCCATCCGGCGAGTGCATAGGACAGATTTGACAGGAACGTACGATGAGGTTGCTGGCGAGAATCTGGAGGATCTTAGCCTTCAAGCTGGTGCGACCAGCAAAGACTTTCTGGAGGATGCCGACGAGCAAGTGGCCCAGAGGCGCGCTGATGAACATGCCGTAGAGGGTCATCTTGGGCACCCGAGCACTGAAGTAATGTCCATGCTTGCTGACATCGTTTGCTATCCAGGAAGCTAGGAATTCTTGGAGACCCGAAAGCAAACCGGATGTCAACATCTTCGTGCGCAGGGGATTCGACTGCAGCTGACGCAGGTAGAGCTATGTCCATGTTCAAATGCCTAGTCAGCAATCTATCCGCGCGGTACTCTTCCGTTATCGAGCAGCAGGTCAAACATACAGCGAGGTAACCTGTCTGAGCATCTCCTCCCGTCAAGCGCTCGCCAACCTTATGCGCCAATTCCTTGGTATCCTCTCGGATTGACTTGGTGACCTCTTCCTGGAACTTGACCGACATGGTTGCTGGTGTTTATTGGGACTTGCGGGTTGGTAGACAGATCGGGTAATGGAGGCGATAAGAATAGCCGATAGCTATGCGCAGTGAGAAAGACGGTCAGGTCACAGAGGCTCAGGAATGAGAACGACGATAATTGATAATCGACACAGAACGAGTAAATATGAGGCGAGGTGGGTAAGGAGGCCGCTAGATCAAATAGAAAGAAAAATCGTGGGGTTGGACAAGAGGGCGTTTAAAGAGCGCGAAAGGGAAAGGGGCCCGCTGTTTGTTTATGTGAAGAGGAGGCTGGAGAGAAAGAGACGGTTATTGCAGCAGGGAGCTTACCGAGGCAGCCTGGCCCAGACCGACGACACAACAACAACAACTAGGTAGATATAGCAAGAAAAGAGAACAGAGGAACGAAACTGTTTCACTTGCAAGTTGTAACACTTCTGGAGAGTTATATGCATGCAATTGATCTAGAAATGGACAGACAGATGTAATGGAACCCAAAGGCCGTTCCTGGGACCCAGATAGATCAATAAATATCGATGATTAGTTGCTTGAATGTGGAGGGGAAGACGCATCGCTGATCTCTCAGGACAGCTTCTTATTCGGCCACGCGGTCGGCAGATGGCGGGTTCATCGCTGACAGCCCAGGCTCCTTCGGGCACCTCCGACATCTGGGGAGCACTTCCGACGTGGTGTTTCTTGGGACTCTTTGGCTGGAATTAATGAAGGTTTATGGTGGATGATCTTCATTTATTCTGCTAAAGGCATTCATCAGCTTGTGCTGTTGGCTTTTGAAAGAAGTTGGCAGCCTTTATCTGTGTGCACAATGCTGCGCAATCATTATCACTCTTTTAGGCATGTATTATTGGGCACAAAGTATACATGAAGAAGAGAAGTTACAATGAAAAGATGATGGAAAAAATAATGTGGTCAGAAGAGATAGTAGAATGAGTATCTATCTATCAAGCTGCTTCTCAGGGATGAGTTAGTGAACTATTTCCCTGCCTCTACATTAGATAAACAACAGTACTCCGTACCTCAACCAGAATAACTATCAAGTATAATAATACCTAGAATCAGGAAAATAGTTTCAAGCTCTCCATAGTCTCCTAGAGCTCTATAAGAATATGCTTAGCTCTTCACTCTAGTTTGTCGGCCACAGGAGAAGTTCTATAAGAGTGTCCCCAATAGGAAAGCACCTAGATGAACTGACCAGCACTGCAATCGGGTAACATCACCATCGCATCGTCGCCGAGAACACCCCACTCACATTTTCCTGCTTGGAGTGAGAAAGCACACATAGTACATTTTCAGCTGTCATGCCTCCTCCTAATAACCCACTTCTCTCTCCTATAGCCAACATCTCGTCGCATATGCAAAACCATGGCGGACAATGGAGAGGGGAGCTCAAGACCTACTCCTGGATGTCACAGCTCAGTCCCCAAAGCGCAGCCTCCTCCAGTTCCATTTCCTCGGATTAATCCGCCGTCTTTTCTGCCTAGACCCGACGACGTCCTGCCTGATATTTTTGAGCAACGACCGGACATATACCCAGGAAGTGCGTGGCCAGGATGGCGTCTTCGAGCACCCTTTTGCCCGAGACGCAACCTTCCGCAGTATGAGATACACCCTTGGTGTTCTCATGGTCTCATGGTTCGCCGGTTTGTGGACGATGGTATACTTTGTCCCAACTGCGCTCGCCAACCCTTACTCGGATGGTTGCTCGTCTGCGTTGATGATCTCGATCGACTTGATCCAAACGGTCCGCAGCTGTCCCGAGGAATTTCCAGAGCCATGATGGACGGTCATTACACTTTCAGAGAGAGAACGATCGTGAGACAACAGAGGGCAATCGTATTGCAGCAACTGGAGCAAGAGTCTGGGCCTGTAGCCGCTCCGTTCTCACACATTGAAGTCATTCAGGGAGTCGAGCCTGACCACCCGGACGATGACAACGGCGACGATGGACTGCCCACAGAGAGCATCGATGGTATCCATCGGCAGAATCAGGAAGAATCATCGCCTTCCCCGGCACAAGCCTCCAAGGAGCCGCGTCCAGCTTGCCGATTCTGGTGCTGCTACCATTGTGGTGAAGCTTACTCCGAGCGTACCTTCATCCATCTTGACGGCTTTCTCAACGATCCATGTACCGCGATCACCCTTCCATGGGAGCTCAGCAACAAAAGGGTTTCCGACGCCAGGATTGTCCGCGACTTGGACAATCATTACAAGCAGAGAGAGCACTTCTTCGGGCCGCCTACACCCCCTTATACGCCATTCGAAAGCATGTCTCTCGCATTGGCGCAACGTCGTTTCTCGCACCTTCGCCCGGTTGCCACACGCATTGATCTGCGCGCTCTCTACGATCCGTTTGAAACCAGAGAGTTTTCAAGCGCGGGTCTTATTGCGGAGCTCAGTGACAGCGGATCAGGAAATTCCTTGAGCGGCGGCTCGAGAAGCATCTTGATAGGTTATGCCGAAGAGACCGTCCTTGAGCCTCCTGAAGCACGGAGCACTCATGATCGTGAAAGTGACCATGATGTCGAAGTAGACGATGATGATTATGGCTTGGCGTCGCTATTTCGCAGTGCGACTTCGGACATTTGGATCTCGAATGATCAAATCAGTCAATAGCCAACCAGCACAGTGAGCGGGAAAAGCGGTCCAGCGGCGGAAAGGAAGACGAACAAGGGACGGGAAAGCCAAACTCTGTTGGATAGGTGAATCTAACAGCCCTTGAGAATGCTGTTGAAGCTGTCCATAGGTGCCTGGAACCTGTCTGTTGATCTTATTCATTGGCGATCATTGTCATCAATTTATCTTTGGCCAGTGAAAACACAATGTAAGGATTGCTTGGGAAGCAATCTTAATTTCCCTGACTGTTCGGGTCAAGGCCAGAGCTGAAAGGAGACCTCGACTGGCGAGAAATACTACTCGTAGCTCGTAGTCAGTTGAACTTATGTAATAGCTTCGAATGTCACCAAGCGACCCCTGCAGATCGAATGCAGAGTGAATTATTATGTGTTTCGTATGCGCCGCAGACTTGTGATGGACGTCTTCAGTTTTATCGGACACTACCAAGTGTCCAGCTGCCTGCGCGCTCCGAATTCCGAGCCTCGGCTCCAGCGCCCTAAGCATAGATCCTCATCAGATGCTCCATACTGCTACCTCCTTAAATCTGAGAACTCCGCGACGCGACTTTCTTCACAACTGGTTTAAAACATAGCTAGACAGTCGGACATCGCTATGACAGAGTCTGAAAAGACGGTCGCTTCGTCAGAGCCCCCTGTGGCACCTGAAATTGAAGCGCCCAGTGTGGGGAAGCCCGTAAGCCCCGGGGGGAGTTCATCGCCGGTACCCTCCTCTTCGGCGAGGAGCGATACTCAACGCAAGCTGTTGGAAGCTCTCAAGGCGACAGACTACAATATTGAACGTCTAGACAAGTAAGTGAACGACGGTTTCAATGCCCTCTGCTGTTGTCAAAGCGCGATGCGAGGCACATGTGACTAACAACAACTACTCTCGGTAGACTCCTATCCACAGCCTACGGTCAAGAACGAGCCTTCGCAGCTACCGGATATCTCACTCATGCGCTGCATCATCTCATTACTTCTGCGCCATGGATCGCTGTACAAACGCGTCTGGGCCTTCTTGCCCGGTTGAACAACCGTACGAAATCTACTCGCAATGCCGCTACTCCGTCCTCATCGCCGCAATCCCGGCTCCTCGCCCTTTCCTCCCTCATGTCTGAGACCCGCTATACCATCCGACTCTTGGGTCTAGTTCCCCTCTGGACATGGGGTTCAGCCACTCTGAAGTCACCACCTTCGGATCCCATCATTCGCAACCTGACCCTCGCCCAGGTGGCCGTGAACATGGTATACCAATTCCTCGAGAACGTGGGTTACCTCGCATCCAAGGGAGTCATCTCGAAGAAATTGATCGATCGATGGGGAGGCATCGACAAGTGGTATTTGTGGAGTATCCGGGCGTGGTTCGGCCATATTTTCTTCCAATTCTTCGTGCTGTGGAGACAGGTTGTCTTGCGGAGGAGGAAGATTGCCAGTGATCCGGCCAAGGCGCAGACGAAGGAGGGCCAGGAGAAACTGAGGGCGGAGATTCGTGCCTGGAAGAAGGCTCTGGTGAACAATGTGTGCTGGGCTCCGTTGTGTCTTCACTGGAGTGTAGAAAATGGCGTTGGGATCCCTAACAGTTTGTCGGGTGTGATCAGTTTCATGGCTGGCGCTTGGGGATTCTATGATCTCTGGGCTGCGACTGCGAAGTCATGATCGCAGTTATGTGATTCACTCGTGTATAATTCGGCTCCGTCTTCTTTGGTTTATATAGAGACAGGTAAATATCATGAATGCAGCTCTGTCACTTGAAAGTGGCACAGATATTCAGTCCCACTGGCTGTGTTGGACTATCAGCTCTATCCAATCTACATTACCTCGGTTCAGGTATCCGACCAACCAGCTCGTTCCTGTATCAAAGTGAGAATGTCCCTGCATCATAGATTGTAAAGGACGTGCCGGCACGATGCTGAGGGCATGCCAGCACCAAGTCTGGTTCACTGCCAAGACAGATTCGGTTCGAATTCAAGTTGTTCCTATACCTTGATGCCTCAGGCACCCAGAATGAGTATGTCCTGCGGCTGTCTGCCAGGGTGGCAAAAACCATGCATGAAGCTAGCATCTGTGAAGCATTATCATCCTAAATGAAATAAAGACTAAGGACACATAGGTACACAGCATGGATTTCAAAGCAAACCTCCGTCCATCTGGTGGTTGGATACGACCATCTTCCATTCGCTTCTTTCCTTTGGGCGGTGGCGGCACCTGTGGCTGATGAACCTTCAGCGGCTTAAGTCATCAGGCCGACAGGCACCGAGACTATCGTCACCTCTTTAACTGGAGCTGTTGCTTCCAACCTCCGACCTCACATCCATCTCTCTTACTTCCACGTATCACCTCTTTTTATCCCTTCGTCCCCCAGACAATTCATCTCGTCTGTCGGACTCTACAACTCTCTTGTCGTTTCCTTCAATTTCTCTTTCTCGTTTTTTTCCTCCTTGGTAGTTGAGCTCATCCGAGCGGACGTCCTTGATACCTGCAGAACGTCTACGTTGCTTCAAGAGCTTGTTCATACAACTACCGTATCTCAGTCTTCGTCAAAATGAGCGCAGAACCAGACCACACTCATGATAAGAAGAGGGTGCACCTCCAGTACGTGCTTGGTTTCACTGTTTTTCGTCTTATCAGGGTCCTTATGCTAACAAACCGACAGGGACGTCTCTGGCGCCGAGAAGAAAGAGGTAAAGTTGCAGTGGCGTCGACAAGAAGTCAACATTAGCACTGACTCTTCAAACACAGGAGCTCGACACCTCTACAGCTATCCTCAAGAAGAAGAAGAAGCCCAACTCGTTGATGTAAGCATACCACACGCTGATAGCTATTGAAGTGGCGGGCGTGGTTACTGACTTAATTTGCCCAGTGTGACCGATGCCGTCAACGATGACAACTCAGTTATTGCCCTTTCCAACAACACCATGGAGACGCTTCAGCTCTTCCGTGGTGACACAGTCTTGGTGAAGGGCAAGAAGCGGAAGGATACCGTTTTGATTGTGCTTGCTGATGATGATCTGGATGACGGAAGCGCCCGCATCAACCGTGTCGTGAGACATAATTTGCGTGTCAAGCACGGTGACATTATCACCGTGCACCCTTGCCCAGATATCAAATATGTAGGCTTGCCTTCAAATGTCTCCCAAGGGGAAGCAAAAAACTAACACCTTATTTCTCTGCAGGCCAAGCGGATTGCCGTCCTTCCCATTGCAGACACCGTAGAGGGTCTGACTGGATCGCTTTTCGATGTCTACCTCGCCCCATACTTCCGTGAAGCCTACAGACCTGTGAAACAGGGAGACCTGTTCACAGTACGCGGAGGTATGAGGCAGGTGGAGTTCAAGGTTGTCGAGGTCGATCCCCCAGAGTACGGCATTGTTGCACAAGATACCATCATCCACTGCGAGGGTGAGCCCATCCAGCGGGAGGATGAGGAGGGCAACCTGAACGAGGTCGGTTATGACGATATCGGTGGTTGCAGAAAGCAGATGGCACAGATCCGTGAGTTGGTCGAGTTGCCTCTGCGCCATCCTCAGCTGTTCAAGTCCATCGGTATCAAGCCGCCTCGTGGTATTCTGATGTACGGTCCTCCTGGTACTGGTAAGACACTGATGGCTCGTGCCGTTGCGAACGAGACTGGTGCCTTCTTCTTCCTGATCAACGGTCCCGAAATCATGTCCAAGATGGCCGGTGAGTCTGAATCGAATTTGCGCAAGGCGTTCGAGGAGGCCGAGAAGAACTCCCCCGCCATCATCTTCATTGATGAAATCGACTCCATCGCCCCTAAGCGTGAGAAGACCAACGGAGAGGTCGAGCGCCGTGTCGTCTCTCAGCTCCTGACTCTGATGGACGGCATGAAGGCTCGTTCCAACGTCGTCGTCATGGCCGCCACTAACCGCCCCAACTCCATTGACCCTGCCCTTCGTCGTTTCGGCCGTTTCGACCGTGAAGTGGACATCGGTATCCCCGACCCCACCGGCCGTCTCGAGATCCTGTCCATTCACACCAAGAACATGAAGCTCGCTGAGGACGTTGATCTGGAGACTATTGCCGCCGAGACTCACGGTTACGTCGGTTCCGATCTTGCCTCTCTCTGCTCTGAGGCCGCTATGCAGCAGATTCGTGAAAAGATGGATCTGATCGACCTTGACGAGGACACCATCGACGCGGAGGTGCTTGACTCCCTCGGTGTTACAATGGAGAACTTCCGTTACGCCCTCGGCGTGTCCAACCCCTCTGCTCTTCGCGAGGTTGCCGTCGTCGAGGTTCCCAACGTCCGTTGGGAGGACATTGGTGGTCTGGAGGAGGTCAAGCGCGAGCTCATCGAGAGTGTCCAATACCCTGTGGATCACCCCGAAAAGTTCCAGAAGTTCGGTCTTTCGCCATCCCGTGGTGTTCTGTTTTATGGTCCTCCTGGTACTGGTAAGACCATGCTTGCCAAGGCTGTCGCGAACGAGTGTGCTGCCAACTTCATTTCGGTCAAGGGACCTGAGCTTCTGAGCATGTGGTTCGGTGAGTCTGAGAGCAACATCCGGGACATTTTCGACAAGGCTCGTGCTGCTGCTCCTTGCGTCGTTTTCCTTGACGAGTTGGATTCGATCGCCAAGTCCCGTGGTGGTTCCGTTGGCGACGCTGGTGGTGCCTCTGACCGTGTGGTCAACCAGCTTCTTACTGGTAAGTTTCATATTAAGTCTTGCGACATAGATTGACTCTAACTAACGAGTCCTTTAGAAATGGACGGCATGACATCGAAGAAGAATGTGTTCGTCATTGGTGCTACCAACAGACCCGAGCAGCTCGATGCTGCCCTGGTTCGTCCTGGTCGTCTCGATACCCTGGTCTACGTGCCTCTGCCCGATCAGGCTTCTCGTGAGAGCATTCTCAAGGCCCAGCTCCGCAAGACCCCTGTCGCTCCCGACGTTGATATCGCCTTCATTGCCAGCAAGACCCATGGATTCTCTGGTGCTGATCTTGGATTTGTCACCCAGCGTGCTGTCAAGCTCGCCATCAAGCAATCCATTGCCGCTGATATTGAGCGCCAGAAGCAGCGTGAGGCTGCTGGCGAGGATGTCAAGATGGAGGATGAGGGTGTGGAGGAGGAGGACCCGGTGCCCGAGCTCACTCGTGCTCACTTCGAGGAGGCTATGAAGTCGGCTCGTCGTTCCGTCAGCGATGTGGAGATTCGCCGTTACGAGGCTTTCGCCCAGAGTCTGAAGAACTCTGGTGGCAGCAGTTTCTTCCGCTTCCCCTCTTCAGGTGAGATTGCAGAGAACGACACGTTCGGTGAAGCCGGCAATGATGACAGCCTCTACGACTAAATGGGTGTTTTCTAATGAACTTGGTCCGTTTTCATTTTTCAGTCTCCTTATCCTCTAGTAGCTAGATCTAGCCTCGGCCTATGACCCTGGGAATGTTGAACGGGATTCACCTGTTGACACAAATGCGTATCTACTGTTTACATTTTGCTTGCTTTCTTGCGATAAGATTCCTTGAGCTTGTATCTCCCCATACGCCCTGGTGAACGGGCGGACGAGGAAGGTCGATTCACATTTGAGCTTGAGCGGTCCTCTTTGCTAGTTTAGAACGTAAATGAGAAAGTTGGTTTTTAAACACTGTACAATGATCTGGCATGGTATCAAATGACTAAATCCCATCCCTCCAGACTCCCATAAGCACGACCGAAAACTGTAAGCCATGACGAACGCCTGCATGAGCCAAAGTGAAGGTATCCCCAGGAATGGAAGCGAAGAAAGTGACAAGGAGCAACACTCAGAGTAGGACAGAAACCCCCATTGCTTCATTTGACCTGTTTCCCCGTCTTGGGCTTCTTGTTTGTCTTCTTGGTCGGACTTGTATCACCATTCTTGAGCGACGGCTCCCCGGACTTTGAGATTTTGGATTTCTCTTTCTCCCCCTCGGCCTCTAAGCTCCCCTTGCTCTCCGACACATGCTCGCTCTGATGCAGGGCGTTCAGATCCGGATCATCCTCTAACACCACCACCTCCCTCAACACCTCCTTGATGGCGCGTACCCCCTGCTCAACCACCGCCTTGGGAATCCGCACATCCACCTCGTCCAGCTCGGCCCAGTCGTCCTCGCCGTGGTTGCTGCCATTGCCGTTCTGCGCCGCGGCTGAGGGCGTCTTTATCCCCGCGGCGGAGGCGACGACTGCCTCGACGACGTCGTCGAAGCGCTCGCAGCGGCCGGCGCGCAGGAGCTCGAGGGATAGTTTGCGGATCTTTTCGGTCCAGCCGAGGCGTTGGAGGGAGGAGAGGAGCGTTGTGTGGAGGTCTTCGAGGGCGGTGGTCGAGGCGAGGTGTGTTAGGAGGTCGGTTTCGAGGGTGTCGGGGGTGAGGGTTGTTGGGGAGG